CCCCAGCAGCACCTGGTAAGTGGGGCTTTTTTTTAAAGCACCAGGAGCTGGGTGTAGGGCAGCCATAGGGGGGCTGGAGAAGCAGGCAGGAGTTGGAGGGAGCTGGGGGAGTGGGCAGGGGATGGGGCCTGGCAGAGGTCCCCCCATGGTACCCTCCCCCAGCCTCCTACTTACCAGTTTGGAGTCTGAGTCCAGCTCCCTGCTGCAGCGGGCGGGGACTGCCTGAATCAACAAAGCTCTCTGAATCTTTTCTGAAGATTCAGAGAGCTTCGAATGGATTCGGACCTTTTTATTAGTCCCCTGATTCGATTTGGATTGGGAGATTCAGCCACTGAATCGGGCCGAATCTTCTCCAAATCAAATCAGCATCAGAAGCTTCTCACAGCCCTACTTACTAGCCCTTATTAGTATTGGGCACATGTAGAGACATTCAGATCACACCTAGTGCATTGTTTCTTTCAGTTCTGATCTCGCTTCTATTATCTTCTTAGAAAAATAAAATCATCCTATCAAAAGGGAAGGAAGGAAGGAAGGAAGGAAGGGCTCCTGTTCTCTATGAAAATCTCATCCCTACTAACATAGGGCCAAATCAAATGTTAATGAGAATGTGTGTGATGAGGAGCTAGGGAGAGTGAAAGGCTATGTGTGCATGTAGAAGGAACTTAAGTTGGTAGGTCCAGGACAGGACAACTGTCTAGGGACACTGAGGGATGTTAACATCCCCAACCACCCATTTCCTGTCTTTTACACAGATCTTATCATTCTTTGCTTACTTGATAAGAAAATGGGTGTTTGTATGACTTTATGTATCTTGTGAAATGCACATGGCTCCTGCTTGCTGTTTACATAGAGCAGAGGTGGGCAATTGTTTAGGGAGGAGGGCCGCTTACTGAGTTTTGGCAAGCCATCAAGGGCCGCATGACAGGCAGCCAGGGGCAGATAAATATTAATTTTCTACATTTTTAGGGGCCCTGCAGGCTGGATAGAATGGCCTGGCTGGCCACATTTTGCCCACCCCTGACAGAGGGTGACCAGCGTGAAAGAAGAGGCAGTTACCCATACAACGCTGGGCCCCCAGAGAATTTCTTATGGTATTTTCGTGGTAATTATGTGAAACTAACCCAGTGTCTTTTGTTCATTTTTTTTTCCTCAGAAGGCAATGGAGACCTAGCTTATAGCTCATATTCTCCTCATTTTCAGTTGAAGGTAAGTACATATTTCCCTTCACCTATCTCACCAAGGAGATAGAGACACACACAACTTGAACATTGGATGAACAGAATGAGAAGAGAAGGGCAGAGATGGGTGGGCCCTGAGGAGGCATCAGTGAAGTGAAAGTTATTCATTTGTGTGGGGAGAGGGTAGCCCTGTCTGCATGGGATTGTGGTGAAACTCAATTCATGGTTATCAGGAGTTGTAGGGTAAATCTCACCTGGGCAAGCAACATACTGCAATGAAAACTCATTAGCCTTACTAGGGACCCAGAGACAAGCCATAATGAACATTCACGAGAACTAGAACCCAGAGTTTATGAGAACTGGGCTTGCCTTCATAGTTCATGTCTTTTCCACACTACCTCACCGGCACATGCCCTACCCAAGACAGAATCATGCCCTGCTGTTGACTTCAGTATTTTGTCCTCTCCTGTTTCAAATGGCTCAACAAGCCAAATGGCTCCAGCCATTTCCCCTGGGAGACTCTTCCATAGTCTAATAGATCACACTCTTAGGAGATATTTCTTGCTCTTTAGTTTAATCTCTCCCCTGCTAGTCTAATTGCATTTCTCTTCTTCAACTCTGAAGTCTAAGAACTTTTATCATTTTCTTTTCAGACCCTTGATCCCCAAAAGGATTTCTCCATTCCACGGCCTAAAGCCCGGGCAAGTCCATATCAAGAGTATGCTGGTGGGAAAGACACCAAGTAGTAGCTCATCAATGAACAGAGAGACAATGAACAGTCAGAAAGGGGCCATGAGGACAGGCCACATGGTGCTTCTCTTATGCTGCAAAGAGAGCGAGTCAGACTGATGGTGCTGCATCTGATGAAAAAGAAGGGTCTTGTCGTCTTCTCCCACCCTCTTTTGGTCTGCACATGTAGATTTTTAGTTCCCATTCTCTCCTAGACCAAAAGAGGATGTTTAGACCTATCCTGCCCTTCGCCTCAATTCTCTCCCCTCAACCATGTGGCTTAGCTCAACAGCCATCACACGCCTACTACATGTGTGAAGATCATATCCTCCAGTGCACCAGAGCTCCTTGGTGCTGGTCCTGGTAATCAGACAGGTCATCAGCTGGACTCCAAAACCCTTCAGCCAGGCTTCTAATTTCTGATCAGCGCACACTGGTTGTGTTGTGCCCTACAGCCAGGTGGAAGAGAGAGGAAGCAATAACCTTCTGCCCACCCATCTAGGGGCCACTTCCTCTACCAGAGAATGTACCTGACTTGTATGGCATTGATCCAGTCAAGCACTGCAGCCCCTCCCAGCTCCAGTTCCACAGAACTGACTCACAGCCAGAGCTAAGAGGAAGAGAGAGAAAGAATTACAAGAATGTCCACTTTTTTCCATTCCACCCGTACAGGTTTTTGACCAATTCCTAATCAACAATCAAGGTGGTTGGACAATGGGGATAACTTTTCATGGAGAAAAAAAATGCTGGTCATTATTTTCCACTGAAATACTGAAACCTCTCCACACTAAAAAGGAAAAAGGTGGTTGAAATTTAGCATTGCCCAACAAAAGAACTCTAGAAGTGGGACATACAAAACATATATGTAGAAGGATGTGATTATTTCAGCTTTGAGCGTGTCTGAGTGTGCTTGTGTCTTAATACAGTATTTATTTGTCTCTCTCTTGCTCAACATTGAGCACGTTGTTGGCACTTAAATAATTATTAATATTATTAATGTCATATGTCTATGTATTCCAGTTATAGAACATACCAGCCTACTGCTTTGATACTTGTCCAATCTTGATTTTTTAAAAAAAAGGGAACCTACAGATCACAATTGGGATACGATACTCCAATTTTCAGACACCTCCTGGATCCCACCCCCCCTGCAAAATATATTTGTCTATTCACTCCCATGCACCTTCTCACCTCCACCCTACTCATACTCCAAAGGACAGACAGGCCTTGTAGTATACATGTACTGCATTGCTAGGTATCTGCATGCTCTGGTACATGAGCTGCAAACTACTTTTCCCCCATCCAAATTGTTTTGCCTAAAATGCACCAGTCTGTCATTACCTGCATCCACACTGTGACTACAGGCACTTGTGTATAGTGCTGAGATTAACAGGCATGCATCCCATGTTCCCAAGCACTGTACAGAGAAGAGGTCTTCTAGGAAGTTATATTCAGCACAATGTGAGACCACCTGTCTTCCCTTAATACAGCTAAAGGTGGAAATTTATGTTTACCCACCATTACATGCAGATTTGTCAATCCAACATGCTGCTTAGTTCAGTGCATTTGTAGCAGTAATCAGAACCATGGATCCATTGGATTAGCTCTTCCTGGCTGCAGATAAACTGCTTATGATGTGAAAATACTGGAAGGCCTTTCAGAATTAGAAGAGACAAGAGTGCTGGGCATGACAAATGTAGAAGCATATAAGACAGATTTGGAAAGCACAATTAATGTTGCAATTGTCAAATTATCCCCACATCTACACTAGTGTAGATAGATCACATCATTTTACAAGTCTAAGATGACCAGTACTCACTCCAGAACTACTACACGAGGAAGCAAACCTTTATGACTCTCTGCAAGGACCCTGACCCAACCATCCACACTATACAAAACATTTGAGAGAGCCCTATCAACAGAAGTGGGTTGCTATTGTTCTCTAGACATTGGTTACCACATAACATTACAGGTCCAAAGCTAACTATCTGGATGTTGTCTGGTCAACTGTTGGCCTCATGGTGGTGAAGATGATGGTGAAGATTTGCATTTCTGTTATGAAGGTGATTTACCTGTAGGCTATGGGCCTCAGGGTTTTACTTAAACTAATAGCTGGCTTTCAGTGAATGAGGTTTTCAAAGTGGCCTGGAGACACTGATGGTGTGCATGTGCCCACAGTTTGCCCTCCTAAATGAGTTCATGAATATAGTAACTACAAAGGGCACTACAGGGGCAAACTGATGAATGACATGAAAAGTACTGACAAGGTGCATACCACCAGGTTCCAAGGCAATTTGACATTTATGTGCCGGAACATGCCAGGATCTTAATCCTTCCCAAGGACAGGACCATGAACAGGGGGCTCATGCCCACTGAAATTATGGAAGACTTTGTCCATGCCTTCCTGACATGGCTCATGAAGGCACAGCCAGAAAGGAAACTCAACCCCTTTCTTACCAGTTGCAGAATGGTGGGGGAATTCACATTTGGAAAGCTGAGGGCAAGATGGTGCTACCTCCAAAATCATTTGAATGCCAATGTGCCAAAAGCCATATGCATGACTATAGCTTGCTGCTTCCTGCACATCTGCAAAAATGAGAGGCAAACAGTTTTATATGGTAGGAACCATGGATGTCAATAAAGTTCTCAACCAATTTGTACAATCAGAAAGAGCCCTCATAAACACTATGAGCCCAAGGTCAACAGAAGCAATGGAAATTAAAGATGCCATATGCATTCACATCTATGCCACACATGGTGATTTTTTATGAGTAACTGATTACTAATGCATGCACTGCTTTGTCAATAATGAAATACCATGGAACATGCTGTACTGATATGTACCAGGAATTTAAAGTGGCTGCTGTGCTTATTTTTCAAAACTTCTGCAGTGAAGGGACTGCTAATCTGTACAGGGTTATTTTGTGCCTGATTAATTATAAGGCTTGAATTGGATAAGGGTTTATTTATTTGCCAAGTTAAATATCAATTTAAATGCAACTCTCTGTGCTTGCTAATTTGGGCGCACGGGCTGTCATTTTATTGACTTGTATAGATATATAGTTTCTGGCTTTTTGTACTTCAATAAAGCCCTTTGCCATAGCTGCAGCTTTCTATTTCCTTACAACTGAGTGGACAGCGACTGCTTAAACAAACATAGGGCTTCGTTATATCACACATACATACAAGAAGGAGATTTCAGGACAATGTAATCGGCTAGCTGACTACTAATGAAAAGTAGAAGTGTTTTTTCTGTTGCTGTTTTTTTTGTTTGTTTAGTATCATCAATTCTCAAAAAGCAAAGTGCAAACTTAAACTATCCTGAAAAATGCAGATTCAATAGACATCTGCTGCCTCCTACTGCTGCCTCCTCCTACTTTTATTTCCTCTCCCACCTTTCTTTCCTCTCTCACAATGGATGGTCTTGTGCTGTACACAGTATCAAGCGAAGCACACCTCCTCCTCCCTGGCATTGCTAGAGGTATTTGAATCCCTAGGGACTGTTGAAAATTACACCTCATAAACAGTTTGCAGGCAATGGTGGCACAGTGGAAACTCAAAGCGAAGAAGTAGGGGCTGAAGGAGTTCCTTGGGCTTCATTAAACACTTGGAGAGAGGCATGCATAGTAAGAGTCTTGTATGGCGGCTGGTGCCATGACAGGACATTGCACTGGCTTCATAACTGGTACTGGGCCATGGACAGGACACTGCACAGGGACCTCCCCATTTATAGGGACTGTTGATGGTTCATAGGCCCAAACAGCACATAGCTCAGGGGCCTGCTCAGAAGCCTGCACAGAGTTGTAGGCTTGCATAGAGACATGTGGATGCTCAGACCAACTCAGTACCATTCAGAATAGATATCCTACAAATTTCCAGTCATGCTCTTGTTCTATAGTCTCTCTTCCCACTAATTTCTCAAATTCCCTTTGCTCCCATTCCTTGAGTGACAGCCATAACATCTTGGATTCAGCACCTCTCTGTTGTATCTGCAGGATGCTGTCCTACATTGTAAACTTTCTTTTTTCTTCTCCAGCAACATCCTAGTGTTCAGGCTTTGGGGGTGGGAAGAGTGGGAGGGAGGATGACTGCCCACCAGATGGAAGATGGACCTGTCCCCAAAATTGTGACAGGCCCCAATTTGCTACTTTTTCTTGTGTTTTATGTCACATCCTTTCTCTTTTGCGAGCCTGGCTGTCTAGTTTTTCCGGTGAAAATTTAGCAAGAAAACAAGTGATCATATTATAACAAGTTGGTCTTTTTTCCACTTTCCTTCTCTTTCTCTGTCTCTCATCGATCGATAGATGAGAGACAGAGAGAAAGAGAAGTATACGCATATGTATGTGTGTGTGTGTGTATTATATATATCTATATATATAAAACGTTTCTATATATTATATATAATGTATGCAACATATACAATGCATAGTGGATATCCATTTAAATTTATGAACATTTAAATAGGTATATAAATGCGTGTGTGTGTATATACATATGCATGCGCACACACATACACACACACACATTTATATATCTATTTAAATGTTCACTAATTTAAATGGACATCCAATTGCCTGTCCATGGGCAGTGCCGTAGCAAGCAGGGGTGAGCAGGGCAACTGCTCCGGCCACCAAAACAAAGGGACGCCAACAGGCCAGGATGGGGTACAGGACGGAGCTGTGAGCGCCTCATTTGGAGGTTGGGGCTGCCGGGGAAGGGGGAAAGGCGGCTTCTGCTGCTGCATGCATTCCTGGGCAAGCATGGGGGGGCACAAGCCTCCCGGATCTGCTCGCGGGGTAAGGGCGGGCTACTGCTGTGGGCTTTGCCCCAGGCACCAAACTTCACTGCTATGGCACTATCCAGGGGTTACCAGCCTACATTCCAGGCCTTTTTTTCAGGTGGAGCATTGCAATGAGAACATATATATTTGTTGATCCCTGAATGGAAATGGAAAAGAGAAGTAGCATTCTAGGCTAATGAAGGGAATAGTTTAATCTTTACAAAGGAGTTTTTTCAGTGTGTGGTAAAAACAAGATATATAAGTGAAGGGATAGGTCTGGTAAGTTGTAAGAGCAGAACGGCAATTTTTTTTCTATCAGCTAATCTAAGTGGTCTATTAAAATTCCTGCCTCAAGTAAACAAAACAAAACAAAACAAAAAAATTGCAAGCATCATCTCCCAGGAGAGGAGGAAGATCTGGAGGAACAATGCCACAGTGCTGAAGCTGGCAGCATTTAACTGATAGCTGCAGATCAGCCCTGCTCCTTCTCCTCACTCTTGCTTTGCCACAAGAAGGTGGATGGAAACAGTTTGCCATGGAGAGAGACAGTGATTTATCTCCACACAAACTGAATACACACTAGGGACCCTTCCCATAAGCCAGAATTCTTTGAAGAAGGCATGACAGGACAGGACTGACATCTGGTGACTCTGAACACTGACTAGTGTTGTTCACTGAAGGGACTTTATAGCTATGGGTGAATCACAACAGCAGGCTTACTAGGACTTTTCTTAAACAGTGGTAGTTGTACAACATACCTCTACAAACTAGAACAGCATATTCGGAAAAACAATCGCTGAACTGATGTAACAACTCCTGAGAGGCATGTGACCATATAATCATGGTCAGGACAGGTAAGGCAACACTGAAACCTTGAGCTCAGGTGGCTAGCACATTTACATCTTTTTCTTCTTTAGCAACCATCCTGAAATGAACAAGGCACCAAATGTGGGGGAGAGAAGTAGAAAGCAAGTTACTGTGTACACTTCTTATGTGACATCCATCCATAACTGAAGCCAATCACACCCGAGGAAACCCAATACTCTATGAGTGTTAGTTAAGTCATCTTCCCAGAAATTCAACTCAGCACCTCAATACAACAACAAGCCTGGCAGCCTGTACTCACTGTATTCAGCTTCTAGTTCCTCCATATCTTGTTTCTCCTGGGACAGCCATGATTTCACTGCTGAGCAGCTCTTTGGAGACTTCTCCCAGGATGTTCAGTTGAACAGCTTGCTCAGAGCAGACTTCACAGGTTAGAAATCCTGCAATCATGGCTGCCTCCAGGGAGCCCTCCATGAGAACATTCTGTTCTAGGTTTGACAGTCGGAGCTCTGGCAAACATATGCCTCTCTAAGCTGCATGTATCAAAGGACCATATATGGGATAGGCAGAAATACCCCTGAAATATACATTTGACTTATCTAACTTTGCAAAATAAATTTTTTCCAACCACTTTTTAAACAATATTCTCTCCTGGCTTGTTTGCTGATTGGCCAGCAGGCCTGTATCAGAAACACAGGCAAAGCTGGGCCCTAAGGAGGACTCAACTCCCCTGTGTCTGTTTCCCTCTTGGTCAAAAGAATTCTGGGACTTGTAGTCCAGGGACAATTGTAGCAAGAGGCCATGAAAACAAGGACTGTTGGGAAAGCTAGTGGTCTGAAAGCAAGCTATTTTTTTCTGACTCTGACTCTGGGCCTGAAGAGGTAGCCATCGGTCTCAAGACTGGATGACAGGAATTGGCAAAATGTGTGAAGTATCAAGCATCTGGGAAAGGTCACCCCTGGAGGGGATTGATGTGAATGTATCTGTTGGATGGATCTTGAGGAAGAACATTGGAGCATGGAAGTTCTGCATCCAGGGGAGAAAAGCTGAGCTGAGCAGGAAGCTTATAAGAAAGATGATGGCCTTGAGAGAGACATGAAAGAAGGAAATCAGTGTGCTGGGCCAGTTGATCATGCCAAAAATGTAAGCAACCCTTTTGCAACAGTGTAGATGTCAGCGTAACAGGAGTTCTGTAATCAGGTAATACTGAAAACCATCATGGGGTGGGGGCATACAACCCCATGCCCCATTGGGAAGGGCCAGCTGTGGGTAGCAGTAATTATACTGTAACTGCTGATAATTAAAGTCTGTGGAGGCTTATATCCACCCCCTTCCTCCTCCACAAGTATTACTGATTTGCCTTCTACTTCCAGCCACTCTTATTTCTGTCATAGCAGGACTCCTTCCTCTACAAAGGCAGCAGCCTTCTTCAGAAAAAAATCCTGCTCTTTTCTCCCATGGGGGACTCCTCAGAGAAAGGTCCTATAGGAACTGGGAGGCAACAAGCCAGTCATCATCATCCCTTCTTCTAACTGTATGCAGTCAGTCACCCTTGAGCTGCAGAATCCCAGGGGTGACATCAAAGTCACTCTGGACTCTGGAGACCTGGAGTGAGAGTCCCAGAAGTATCCTTTCAAACTTGGTTAACTAAGACAGTTCAACTACGATTTGGGCTTGGTCCAGAGAAGGTGAGTTCCCACACAGTGGCTGGCTGCCTTCTACCAAGACGGTGAGCACCAGTTCCCATGGGTGATGGGAGGTAATTAAGCAAGAACCTGAGCTGCCTTGTGAGCCTCAAGGAAAGGAGGATTGTTGCACAACTTCTCCGTGATGCCATGGTCAGAAAGGAAGAGAGATTCTTGGGTGGTGTCCAAATTGCCTGTGCAAACCTTGTGGGAAAAGCTCAGAATGAGTTGAGAGTAAATCTATCCTTCATAGCCCCACTTGGGAATCAATTTACAGCCAGGGTTTTCCTTCTAAAACACAAACCTTTCTCTACCTTTTTTCAACTGAACTTACTAAAAAAAAGGCACTAGAACAAAAACATCAATGAAACAACGTCCTCAACACTGTGAAACCCAGAAGAAACTCCTTACACAAACAACAGAAATGCTACAAAGAGTCCTTCCTCTCCACCACTGTCCCACATATCCATGCCCTGAGGAAAGGCCAGGATCAATTGCAGACCAATTTGCAGACTGCACTCAAGGGTGCCTAGGGTGGGGAGGGACAGGGTAGAAACAGTACTCTGGCCCCTGTGCACTTAGGGGAGCAATGTTGTGCTCCTAAATCATGAGGCACCCTCTCCCCAGGCTTAGCCCTGCACAACAGTGTCCAGTGTTTTTCCCTGAGATGAAATCCATTTCTCAGCTCCTATAGGCTCATACAACTGTGCTGTGCCTTACTGGCAAAATATAGCTCTAACAGCAGACACCCTGGATTGTATTTGGTAATATTTGTTACTTGACCCTTTACAGAGCATTCTTTAG